TTGGGTTGACTGTTAGGTTAGTTTATGTTGAGTTAGTATTGGGTTGTATTGGTTGTGGGTGGCTGGAATAGTATTTTGAGTTGGTTTGGTTAGTATTGGGTTGTATTGGTTTGGTTTGGGTTGTGATAGGATGGGTATATCTAAACAATATAGACTCGGATGGAAGTAATGCTAGCTGGTTCTTGATTAAGATCGTTGTCCAGAGACTCAATGCTCTCGTAGGATTGGTAGAAGTAGATCTTATTGTCGTTCCATGGCAGGTTTTGGAGCCATTGCTGGTCGGCGGGAGAAACAGTATAGCCCTCGGCAAAGACAAGGTTAGATGGGGAGAGGGCTATAAGTCGGTGAATATCCACATACACATCTTGAGCTCGACACTCTGAGCACCTATTATTATTCTGGTCTTGAATTATACACCTGATACATGTGAAATGCTTGCACTTTAGGTAGCAAAGGGTTATGAAGTTATCATCGGGATTGAATGGGGGTGGCTGAGTGGTTTGGTCTCTGCTATCTGCTTCATGGGAGGGGATGTAAAGTGTTCGAGTGCAAATGATACAATCAATGCTTGATCCGTTCTTCTTGATACTTCGTATGACCATATCGAAGGATTCTTTAGGGATGAGGTGTTTGGGAACGATGTCATCAATTTTGTCCTTTTGCGAGATAAGGTGAACTAGTAATGTAGATGAGACGGCGGTGAATTCAGGGATGGTGTTGGGATTGGTGGCTAGTAGATTGTTGTAATAAAGTGGAATTGTCGACGCAGCTAATGATTCAGCTGGGTATGGGCTTTTGTCTTCTAATAGAATGTTACTAAGAGACCCAAGGCCTCGAACTAAATAGTGGCGCGATACTAGCAATTCCTGCTTCTTTGTTGAAAGACTAATATTGGCTAGACTCAGAGTAGTCACATCTTTAAATCGGCAAGCTGTCCAGCGAAGGATGAGTATTAGGCCTTTCTCAGTTAGTGACGGGCGATTGTGGAAGCGTAAGATTAATTTACTAACGACATGCTTTTGGACTGGGAGTGGCTGTGGTTGGTTGAACTGTGTTTGAGTTGTTTGGATGGCCTGGCAGTGTGTAAGGTCTTGTTCTAGCGCTGCTAGAGTAACTTGACTAAGAGTAAAGATCTTCTTGTTCTTTAAGATTGAGCTGGACATGGCTGCGGTTGGGGTAGTTGTGCATAGAATGTAGTCACTGAGTGACATAAATAGTAGTTGTAGGTTAAAGCTTAACAATTTCTGCAAGACTGCATTGTAGGGCTTTAATTTGATGTTACTCGGATACAGTGCTAGTTTATCTAGTCTAAGACGCTTTTGGTTGATATTTGCCTTCATGGCTGTATCTATGTAGTCGAATAGTGAGAAGTTGCTGATTTGGTTTTTGCCGTGGTAATGTTGCACTTCATCTAGTTTAAGAAAGTCGTTGAGCACAAGGGATTCTATCTGCTGACTCATAGGTTTGGTGAGAATTTGGGAAATAGCAAGGTTGTTGAAAGACTGATTGAAAATATAGACATCCAGTGGAATAGAAAACATATAACGCCCAAGCACCCAATAAATAATACTCTCGTCAACGTTGTCCAAGATTAAAGTCTTGATTGCAGGGGCATATTGGGGACTCTTCTCAAGTTCAAGATCGAGGGTGGGTATTTTAAAGTTGGTGGTTTGCTGACTGGTATCACGAACATTCACAATCTTAAGTGTGTTGGCTATAAGACTCTGGAATTGGGTTAGAAAAAGAAGACATTCTTTGACCTGGTGCGGATGTGGTGTTTTACTCCCTCTGATCTGAATGGTTGTGTAACGTATGTTCTGACAGAAAAACATCTTGCAGATGCGCCTATGTATATCTGCGTTGGCACGCAATTGAATTCGAGAAAGCTGTAGGTCAACTGTTTCGTTAAGTTGCCAGTTAGGAGGGCTGATCGCTTCACCATGGCAGGTAACATGCATGTCTTTGACCTCGCGAGGTATCTCTTTCACGCCGTTAATTAAATGCAGCACCTCGATGGTATTATACAGATCCTGGTCTCTGCTTGCATAGTGGATTTTGATGTCGTGTACTATAATACCCAGTCTGGCACAGTTGTCTTTGGTATAGATTTGGCTGAATTGCTCCGTGGCCCTGCATGGCTGATTGTCGGAGAGTTGGAAAAAGGCCTTGGTGGCATAAATTCGGGAAGAAGAAGACGTGAGCCTATGTGGGGCAAGAATCATTCTATGGATAGAGTCCTGGTCGCTTTCATCGATGATGATTATGTGCACCCTGATTTGATAGTTCTTGTTGCTAAGCAAAGACCACAGACTCCCCCAGTTTATATTCAGGGATATCCTTGCCTCTTGGTCGGCATCATCCGTCAGGCCATTTAGCATTAGTGTGTTGACTTTGGAATCACTAATCCGGATCCAGGCACATCTTGAAGGGTAAGTGGTCTGAAGAAAGCGACAATCAATTATAGAAACGATCGGTAAGAGGGTAAAGGAAATGGTGTAGTTGTCTATTAGCGGCAGCTTGTCAAGAATATAAAGATGCTGGCACTGGGCTTTCTTCAGGGTAATACATGAAATTGGAAGCATTACGATGATTTTTGTGCCTATCAACTCTAGCATGTTTAAGTTGGTTGTGGCTGCAAACTCGAGCACGTCCAATTTGCCATCGACGTTATAAGAAAACGCGCTTTCCGCCTCGGCCTGGCAGGCTTTTGTGTTGATCGGAACGACACCTAATTCGTCATCCAGAACACCATATAAATCAATCTCCAAGCTGTTAGAATTAATCATGTTAATGGCCCGGCATATAATTTGCATGCTGGTCTGATGGTAGTTTGACCTCCCTATTTTATAGCAAACATAGGCTCGTTCGGTCTTAATACTAGCCACTTCTCTTAGTCGGTTTAATGTATCGGCAGCCTTGGAGGAATCCAATTCGTTTGGCAGTTCGAAGTACAGGAACCGGCCTTCATGCACAAGTAGATACTTGGGAATAGTTGTTATTGGGTTAGATCCACTGGAATTTAGCAATTGATCAGGGATTAGTATGTTATTATGCACTGTCACTATTCCGTTATCAAAATCAAAACCAATCATTTCCAGGTCCCTGACCATTTCTGTCAGATGCTGTAGATCTTGCGATACTTTCATGTCTGCCTCACTATGTCTAGTTGCTACCGCCGCATTATTAGATCCACTAACACTAGTCCAAAGCACTAGTAAGGCAAATAGTCCCAACATAATCTCTCGACCAGCTGGTTTAAAGCACCAGTCTTTGATTGCCAAACTACTGGCTATAAAATGAGTAAGTACCTTGAGATAGCTGTTATTTAGAGAAATAACGAGTTCAGTGAATTGGGCTGGATCAGATCTCGACTTGCATTGGGTGTGACTTCTGAAAGGCTTATTAGTTTGTAGAGATAGCAACATAAGATGTGGAAATAAAAATTAAGATATTCTGGTACGATATCACTCTCAGTGATGGTAAGGTACCAGATGGCCAGCCCCCAATAGAGCAAAGCAATGGCTGGGCAGCACCGTTGGTACTATCTAAGTTCAAGTTTGAGGTGTTTTAATTGGAGATTTTAATACCAGATAAGAAGAGGGCGGTTTTATAATTGCTGCTGAGCATATATCTAGCAATCAAATTGATCTCAATGTTTAAATGACTTATCAAGCTCGACTCAAAACTTTACTATTTATTAGAACATTTACGAGAGCCGAATCATTGGAATAGTTTGGAGATAGCTATAATTGCGTCAGAATACCAACCTGGAGATAGACATACCGATTAGAGTTGTTTAAAACACGGCATAACAACAAGCGCATAAACATGGAGACAATCTCTATCATAAACCACTTGTTCTCTCAAAAGAACTATTCACTACCTCAAAACCCCATATATCCGCAAAACTCTAACTCTTCTTTAACAATATACCGTTGGCTAACACAATACCAACCATAATACTAACCATAATACTAACACAATACCAACCATAATACCAACACAACACAACCCAACACAACTCAACAATCAGAAAACCACTACCTCTAAAAGACTGAGATAAGAAAGAGTACGACACTAGTTTAAAACCCTAAACATTATGCAACCACTCAAGAATAGTATAACCCGTCAACAACAAATCCCTCTATCCCCACATTACTATTAACTCCATGCTAACTCAAATAAACCCAATACTAACCCAATGACGTCAATAAAGCCAAGCAAATGTTTAATGAATTTTTAGATGACTGAGAGTGTGGCTCCGGCTTATTTAATGGAGATGCAGGCAAGATGTCTTTTTGATTCGGTTGAGTTCGTCTTTAAGTCCGGATTGGTTAGCGCGAATGTCTCATCGAATGTGGTTGAGTCTGTGATGATGCAGCGAGCGAAGAATCTGTTCTGTATGCGCGAGTACTACCATGCCTATACCGTATTGGGCTGTCCTAACTATGGCAGTGAAGGTTTATGCTATCTTTTCTGTACCTGCTGTTCTGGAGAGGTGGTTTTTCTACGAAACTATTCCTTGTACATACTAGCCACTATCAAGCAAGAGATGGACGTAGATCTGTATTTACAGCGCACCTTGGTCAAGGATAGTGAGCTTGAGAATGGCATTGGTAAATCACGACGTCTGCAGGGTAAAGATCGTTCTTTTTTTGATGAGGATGTTTTTGATGATCCTTATCTGGTTTTTATGTTGTTAATATCTAAGAAGGTCTTTCTATCTGAAAAGATACAGCAGAAGATGTTATTGCATCTGATTGATGCTTTGCCTTATTTTTGGGAGCCATACAAGTTACTGGCCAATCTTTGTAATGTAGCTAATGTAGCTGATTTAGTGAAACGTGTGCCTTGCAAGTTGATGTCTCAGCTCTTTATGCTCTACACTGGCAGCCAGAAGAGTGTTTTATCTCCAAAACTACAAGAGTTTATTGATACTGCTGATAAAACTTCACCTGGGCTATCAACAAGTTTTGCCCGATCAATGATAGCCACTGTTCATGGTCATTATAAACAGTACACCAAAGCCCTACGCATTTTTGAAGAGATAATTAGTCTGGGTAATTGTCGTGATGGCCTTGACCAGTACACCAATATTCTCTACTCTTTAAAAGACGTGAATACGCTATCTTCCTTTTTATTGATTGTTTATGATAGATATTACAACTTGCCACTCTATCATTTTGTATCTGGTAATCTACTTTCCCTCAAATCAAATCACGTAGGGAGTATTGAGCAGTTTCAGAAAATTCTCCATGAAGTCCATCCTGGTGAGTTTGATATTGCCTATGTCTTTGTGGCCCAGGAGTATTTCCATATGAAAGATACATGTTCCTCTATTAAGGCCTGTAACATTGCCATTAAGAAGAATTACAACGACTATCGTGTCTGGTCAAACATGGCTCAGATTTACTTTGCTGTAGAGATGTTTGAGTACGCCCTCCATTTCTTCCGCAAGTGCGCCGAGTTATCCCCCACCAATCCTTCGGTTTATGAAGGCTTAGGCCAGTGCTTTGAAAGACTAGAAAGAACAACTGAAGCCATTCGCTGCTACAAGAAGGGCATTGAAAACCACAGCAGCAAATGCATTGCCCTTTTAGGCGATATGCTTTTTAAGGCCAAGAATCCCGATTACCAAGTATACTATGCCCAGTATTTAGACTTGTGTCTAGCCACTCCCAAATCCAAGCTAGAATACGACTTTCTTTGTTTAGAAACAGCCGAGCGCTTTATTGATGCTCTTGAGCCTACTGCGGGCTCCGTCAGAATTGCTCAGTGGAAGAAGTGCTACAACTTATTTACACCCGACAGTAATGAATAGCAACTAACCCAATAAACACCAATATTGTTATTTTTATTCTTGATATCTACTACTACTCTCTATACTAATCCAAAATCTAACCCAATCTAACTTTAGCCCACTTATTTTGATCAGACCATGAAACTACAATGTATTTATTGATTTCATCGTTATTTGTACTTTATGATCTCCTAATGATACCATCAAGTATAAATAAGATCTTATTCAGTATAGTTTGTGATATTTATATCATACAACAAGTGCTATACAGTTCTTAAATACTTATAGCATCTTCACCTAACCCAATACGTCATATCTTCATATCAAAAACTTAACTTAACCCAATACCAACTTAATCTTATCTTAATGCTAACTCAATGCTAACTTAACACCAACTTAACACCAACTCAATACTAACTCAATCTTAACTTAACACCAACTTGACTCAATACTAACTAAACTTAACTCAACACTGACATAACATAACTTAACTTAATACCAACTCTATAATCTAAAATTTCAATCTCAACTTAGTTTCTTTTCAGAAATGAAGCCTTCATAATTCCTTTGATATTCCAATGTATAGTTAATCGAAATCAAATCAAAACACATCTAAACCATATCTAATCTAAACATAAACAGATCAATACAGAACACAAACCAATACACATCTAAACCACAACATATCAATACATATCTAACCCAACACAAACCAATACATAAACCAATAAACATCTAAACCATATCTAAACACAAACCAATACATATCTAATCTAAACTCAATCTAAACATAACACAACCCACCCAACACAAATCAAAACCCAACCCATATCTAATCAAAACCCAACCCATATCTAATCAAACCCAACCAAATCAAATCAAAACTAAACCAATCCAACTCTTTATTAGGCAGTTGCATTCAACAACTGCTGCCTCTTCTTCGTGAACGGATTACTTCGGTCCTTCCGGTCCTCAGCTGAACGCGATCGCACAATACGTTGGTGAACCGCACAAGAGATACAATACTCCAACTTGTAGTAGAACTTTGGAACTTCAAAGTCTTCATAAACTGAAGCTTGTTTGACGTCATCAAGAGATGCAGTATCAATAATATTCCTTATATGGAAACGTTTGATTGCTTTATCTTTAGGACAGCATCTAAAGCAATTTTCACATCTAATCGCTCGAGTGTGGCCACGGTTCTTTTTAGCTCTACCATGATTTCTACGCTTCTGAGTCATACTGGGGCTAAAAAAGATAAAATTCCATTTATTCTACTTAAGTGGATACTTAAAGACCACTGAAGTAATCATGGCAGATAGAAAGACTGCGACTAGAATTATAGGTCCAGTGTAGTCATCGTATGGTCCGATATCTTTTTCTCTTATCTTTTTTGCTCGCCAAAGATATAGATAGAGGGCGTATAAAGAAAAGATAACGGACACAATCACAAAACAAAGACCGGAAAGAGCGGCTGACATATCGCCTAGACCCATTAGAGCTGCGCCAATACCTCCAATGAAGATGGAGAAATGGAGCCAGGAAAGGAAGGTTCTTTCGTTGGCGAAGAAGACTTTGGGTTCAACGCGGACGGGCACAACGATAGGACGAGAGGATTGGGAGGTGGGTGCGGCTTGGGAAGAAGGTTGGCGGAGGGCTGAAGGTTCAAATAGGGAAGTGTTTGGGGGAGTGCGGTTCTCTGCCATTATTTGTGGTGTGTTTACATGGCACGTCATTTGTACCGGAGAGGTGGGTTTGTTGATTTGTGTTGGACGCAAGGATAGTTGAGTGGGGTGTGATGAGTTAGGGTTGGGTTGAGATGGGTTGGGGTGTGATGGGTTGGGGTGGAGAGAGTTATTAGTGGATGGAGAAGATGGAGGAGATGGAGTAGATTCAGTGTCGGATGAGAGGGGGAGGTAGGGAGTGGCTGCAAGATTGGGGGTGGACTGGGAATTGGGTTGAGTTGGGTTGTTGATAATGGAGGTGATGACTTGGGCGAGTTCTTGGTTGATTTGGGTGAATTGTGGGTGGGGATCGGGTGTATGCTGGAAGTTGAATGGTTCTGGTTTGAGATGGACCATTTGGTTGTACCAGTAGGGAATAGTTGGGACGGAGTCGTAATGGATGGCACAGCCATGGAGGTATTTAGAAAACTTATCAACTGGAATGACTAACTTACTGTTCATAAGGTTGTAGACCCAGGGGTAATCGGCGCCTTCTTCTAGTTTGACTTCTAGAATAGCGTATGGGAAGACTTTACCGGTCTCTTCAATCCACATGGAGAGGTTAGTGTCCATGGAAATACGGACGGAGGAGTCGGTTGGGAACTGGAAGGCCGTACGGGTGTAGACGGTCTTGACAACTGGGAATAAAGAATGGGTGCGAATCATTTGGAGGACTTCGGTATAGAGTGGGAAGGCTTCTGAGGCATTGATGGACTTGATTTCGTCCCAAATATCTGTGCCATTAATAAATGCTTGGGTGTACTTGGTATGAATAAGAAAACGACGTTTGGTGCTTTTCTCGCCGGTCCAGCCTTCTTCATGGGATTTAAGTTCTACGTAGGCAATGATGGACGATTCACTGTACTTGCGGATGCGTAGGGCTTTGGCGCCTTGTTCGCGTCTGATTCTTCTTTGGTAGAGGTAGAAGTCATGAGTGTCTAGATAAACACTGGAAATAACTGAGGATATCTTGCCACTGCCGTCATCGCCGAAAACATAAACGGGGAGGTAGGGAATAACCATAGCCTGGACGGTTTCTACGTTTTCTGGGAGGACCCAGAACTTCTGGGTTTTCCGCACGAAGCACGTGTTAATATTGGAGGCAATGGTTAGACCTTTCATGGCAATTAAAGTATGGCCCATGCGGTAAATGATGTTTTCCGCACTGAGAATGGCTAGAGTTTGTAGGTGGTTTTCTTTCTCCTCGGCTGGAATTGGAAGGGCGGCAATGGCCTGTTTGACCGCGCGAACTTCATTGGCATGATGAAGAATGATCGAACACATTTTAGCATACTCGACTTCTTGTTCAGTGGTGGTATGGGTGAGTTTATCTATTTCTTTGAGGATTAGTGAGCTACGAATGGTGGTGCGGAAGATGAATACATGAAGTAAATCTTCCAAGGTTTGGGATAATTGGGATTCTGTGTGCGGGGAGGGCATGATATGATGGGAAATGGTGTTTATATGGATGCATTGCAACTATGTTTCAATAAAGGGAACCTTGCTACTTTGTTTCTCTTCTTGACTGGTAGATTATGAGAGGCGTTCTAGTTAGGGAAAATAGGCTCAAACTAGCTGAATCTAGTTAGGACCAACTAGAGATATGATATGACAGACTAAAAGTGAGTTAGGGTTAATTTAGATCGGTCTAAGTTTAAATTGAAGTGGACTAGGTCTATCTTTATTGGTTGTTTTGATTGGGTTAGTTTGGTATTGAGTGCGGCTGGTATTGAGTTGGTATTGAGTTGGTAATGAAGTAGGTTGGTTTAGGTTAAGATTTAGTTAAAGGTCGTTAGAGAGAGATAGTTCTTCCGGATGCCGGCCGAAGTGGTTGGCGAATGTTTGGAGTTGGTCTTTGTCCTCTGGCCGGACTAAGGAAATAGCAATGGATGATTTGCCAAACCGGCCGCCACGACCAATTCGGTGCAAGTACTCTTCTGAAGTAGGCGGCAGATCATAATTAAGCACTAAATTCACATTAGCTGCATCAATACCACGGGAAACTACATCAGTAGAGACAAGAATCCTATACTGACCGGCAAAGAAACCAGCCATTTGCTTATTCCGTTCATTTTGTGCTAAACCACTATGCACAGCTGCTACTGAAAACCCGTGTGTTTTCATTAGATCAACTAGTTGGATAACTGTTTCTTTCTTATTAGCGAAAACAACTGCTTGAGCCACGGAAAACCGACTGAAAACCTCACATAATAAATCGAACTTATCCTGATTCAACACCTCCACATAGTACTGCTTGATTTTAGCCACTGAAAGTTGTTCTGGCGCAATCAAAAACATCTTAGGCCGATTTAACAAAATATCTAGCATATCAGTAACACCCTTAGGTAAAGTAGCACTCATAAAAACAAACTGAGGATTGTGCGGCTTAACTGCCTCTAGAATATCCTTAACTTGCCGGCCAAACCCACTATCAAGCACTCGATCTGCCTCATCAAGCACCACCATCTTCACTGGCGTAAAGTACTTAGGCACTTCTCTAAGCAACTGCAGAACACGACCTGGTGTCCCACAAAGAATACTTGCCCCACTTCCCAGTGCCTGAACATCAGCAGCCAAGGACTGTCCCCCAACAGCACACATGCCTTTACTACTAGTGTACTTGCCCAGTCCTTGCAAGACCCCAAAGATCTGCAATGCTAAATCTCGTGTCGGCGAAAGAATCACTCCCTGAATACCCCTGCCAACTCCTTTCTTATCACTATCTACCTTCTTATCACTATCTACTTTCTTATCACTATCGGTACAGGCACTAAGCCGTTGTAACATACCCAGAACAAAAGTGGCTGTTTTACCAGTTCCATTCTTAGACTGGACTACTACACTCTCTCCTGAAACAATAGTTGGAATAGTTTGTTCCTGGACTGTTGATGGCTCACTATATCCATAAGTAAAGATGCCTTGGAGAATATTTGTGCTTAGATTAAGTCGTTCAAAGCCGGAATAGGCCCTTTTCATGCAAAAATTTGCCAGCCCACATGGAACCAGACCATTCCAACCATCCCCGATCGCGAAAAACCAAAGAACATTGCCTTCCTGCTTATCTGAAATGGCGCCATCTTGTCTCATCTGTTGGCGATCGTCGATTACCAATCTTTCTTTCTTTTCTTTTACGCGTTATCACGTTAACGGACTCTGTTATCTCTTTTAATAACTCCAAAAGAATCACAAATACTCTTTCTGCTATCTGTAAAACCGTTTCTCATCTTTCAAAAACCAAAGTTAATCCGACCCATTATAAACAGATACTTTGGATTTTTGGTGATGTCTATAAATATAAGCCTTCCTGTATTCAGCCTAGTAATGAACTAATCATTGAACAAGTTCCATTGGAGAATCGGTTCATGACCTGTGAGAAGAGAGCTTTAGATTGGGCTCGGAAAGAGTATACGGGTGAAGATCTTAGTTCTTTAGCCGATCCCTTAGCCGATCCGGCTAAACTGCAAGCAATCGATGAACTCATCCTGGCTGATAAGACGTTTCGGCAGCACCAAGCACCCAATGAACTTGGATCTCTTCTCCCAGGCACACCTCCCCTCCAGGCCATTACTCTTTCCGAGTCCGCCCCAAATCCACCTCCTCCTAACTCAAGTACTATACCATCTACACTATCTACATCATCTATATCATCTACCCATCCTCCTTGTCCCACTCAACCCAATCCACGCGCACTTTCAATTCTGGATCGAATTAAACAAAGAGAACAAGCACGTAAAGATGAGTTTATTCGGATGGAACAGGCTAAAGATACTGAGATAAGAAAGGCATTTCATACTATCTATCTACTGGCACTTTCAGAGAACAAGCGGTCTTTTGAAAAGTCCGTTTTAGAAAAGAGGATACCTCTGTTTCGCCAGGGAAGTATCAGCCTGGACGATGTAATTACCCATCCAGACCATCAGAAGCATATCAAGCACAAACAGTTTGACAATCAAACCTTTCTAGTTTTTGATTTTGACAAATATCATCAAAATTCACAACCATAGATCTTATCATACCAATAAATTCGTAGCATAACAGTAAGTATTTATTAGTCCAGTTTAACTCATCACAACACATACCATTTCATTGAAATAGAACACCAATCCAATACTAACCCCATACCAATTCAACCCTATACCAACTCAATTCATACCAACTCAGACCTAGCTGGTTTTGAAAGCCTGGTTGATATGGTCCCGGCGGTACGCTGCCCAGATAATAGTCAGCAAGAAACAAAAGTTCCCTACTACGGTTAAGACGTGAAAGACTTCATGGTACCCAAATACCTTAGGAGAAGGATCGGGCTTTTTACTGCCATAAACCAAACCGCCAGCTATATAGGCCGCACCTCCAAAGGCACACAACCCGACTATTACTCGCTCCTGCCACAGTTTAGTCATGGGCACACACAAGACTATTGAAGATCCATGCACTATATAGTACATGACATTCACGTACCGTGGCACTGTACGAAACACAAACACTTTCACAATCCCTAGACCAGCTAATGCATAGGTCAGTAAAACATACCCACTCGTACTTGTCTTCAATTTAATATTCAACTCAGCAATTGCACTTAGTACACAGGTCTGCGTGCCAGAAATCAACAAGAAAATAGAGGTATGGTCTAGTTTCTGGCACAACTTCTCACTCTCCCTGGTTTTCCAATCGGTCATATGGTACGTACTACTAACCCCATACAGTATTATCTGTGAGAGGAAGTAAATAGTCAAGTAAAACCGATTGGTCTGTAAGGCACACAAGAGAACGAAGTACAAGCCAATTGCTCCATAAAAAGCCAAACGATGAATGCGGCCGCGCCATTTAGGTTTGGCCCGACAATCACTATAATGACACTCATCAGAAGAGACCAAAAGCTCATCCTCTTTCGGATTACCTATTAAATCAGCTCGATTACGCACTACTTCAGTTGTTTCAATTGTCTCAGCCATATGACGTATACTAGATCCCAAATAATTTTTGGCAAATAACATAGTAGTTGCCATGATCTCGGCCCGATTCCACAATCTTTACTTTTGATTGTAAAACCATCTCGTTTAGTTCTTGGTCGCGGAATAGATGATAGTATCTATTTTTTTGATTTGTCTTTTTCCAACTGACAAAAACATCATTGGCAGTTGCTTTAGCCACTATCTCGGGATCTAATCCAGCGGCTAAATTAGTAATTCCTAAAAACTTAGTCGGTTTACTCTCAGGACACTCACTCCATACATAAACCAACATATACCCACCCGGTTTCAAAACATCCACTAAAGATCGCACTGATTTCTCTCGTCTTTCTGCAGTTGATAAGTGGTGAATCACAGCCACAGAAATAACAATATCAAAAACCGAATTTACTACTCCCAGATCTTCTCCTAAATCACAACGACCATACCCTAACCCCAACTGTCTCGTCTTAGCAATCACCAACAAATTCTCAGAATAATCCAAAGATAAAGTCCGTTCGGGATAACAAGTATTCCGGCCATTCCCAGCCCCGGCATCTAAAATCAAATCGGTCTCTTTAACGTACTTCTCATAAAACTCAGCTACTTTAGGCCATATCTTATATCTAGTGGCTGAAAATTCAGCTGAAGATTCACTATAAAAGGAATGAACATGTTTTTGTTCAAAATTACCCATCAAGGAAATATTTGAAATTTTCATGACTATATATCGGCTGAGACGGTGAGATTATGAAAATTTTTGCCGTTCTACTGCTTCAATGTAAGAAGATAGCCTGTCGGACCACTAATATGCTTGTTCCCGTTGATTGTAACGTCTCTGTATCTCTATCTGAACCCAAAGATAAAGATTTGGCTTTGATGGAGGCCCAAAAAACAACGATTGCAATGATAGATGTTGGAACTAATGAGTTTATTTTGCCTAAGATAGTGGAAGGACTGTTTAATAGTGGAGTAGGTGCTAATGGAGGTTTAGTACCTGAAATGATGATTAGTTCAGATGAACTATCAGCAGTTTTAGAGTCTGCTTCCCTGGTAGAAGTCCTGGGGAAGGAGCGAGTGTATTGGTTGTTCAATGTCCTGTTTGGTGTGGAGATAACTAATGGGGCTTTAGCTTGTCAGAGCTGCAGTACAGTTTATCCGGTTGTGAATGGCATAGTTGACTTTTTACAGAAGCCGGAATAAGAGTACTAGGCCTGGTTTAGTATTAGAATAGTATTGGGTTGGGCCAAGATAATAAACGATTTAGTCGAGTTATATTATGTTATTGTAATGCTTTCATACGACCCCTACTCAATATCAACTTAATACTAACTTAATATCAACTTAATACCAATTCAATGCTAACTAAATACCAATTCAATGCTAACTTAATACCAACTTAATATGACGTCATCTTATTTCAATTCAACCTTATTTACTTAATAGATGGTACCCACACTTATCTCAAGGATTGTCTTTAATAGAGTACGTATTGGTTGAGATAGGTTGGTATTGGTTATGTTGAGATGAGATGGGTTATGTTACGGGGTGGGTATAGGGACGGACTTGGCAGTGGCATACCAGGGAATGGCGGGATGGAAGATATAAATACTGGCAGTAAAGAGAATACCAATGGTGATGAATAAAATGGCGCATCCGGAATAAACTAGACTGGCATGCTTCTTTTGGTAGGAAACATTGCTGAGGTAGTGGGAATACTTGGACTCTTCAAAGGCAAGGGCAAAGTAGAGGAAAACAGTGGTATGGGCAAGAAGGGTGCTTTGGAGAGCGACGGAAGTGTATATGGTGGTGCTAAAGAAACTACCGATGGGAACAAACCAGGCTGCGGCTAAACTAAGGAAGTAGAGAATAGTTTTGATAATAAACCGATGCTTCCTTTTTTTGATATCGGTTTTGAGACTGCGGAATATATTGGCAAAAACAAAGAAGATAGCTGTAAGATAGAATATGATATAGATGGGAAGAAAATTAAGCATTAGACTTTGGTGGGACGAGTTGGTGATGGCATAGTAGATATCAATGCCGACTAAAGTGAGAGTGGCCAGACTAATAAGACTATCTAAGATCCGGAATAGTTTGAAGGGGAAAGACTTGTGCTTCAGGAATATAACACGGAAGATCACTAGTAACAGAGCAAAACAAGCAACTACAGCACTTAAATGTTCAAAGTGATAAAATAGACCAGCTATAAGGTAACCAAGGAGAGCAATATGGGTGCCAAGGGCTAGGAAGACAAGAGAGTCATTATGGATGGCAAAAGAGCGGGTTGCTTTGAAGTATTGATTGGCCCAGTCGGGTAAACTGTCGGAGGTAGAGGTAGAGAGGTTGGTGCTAGGGGCATCGAAATTAGTGAGAGTGATCTTGGCCTGGCTATAGTGTAAATAGTGCCCAATAATGGCTGCTGCCATCGAGACAGTGTTAGAGGAAAGGCCGGTGGCTTCAATGCGCAGGTCGTAGGCCTTGACGACTGCTAGTATGTTGTAGTCCGGGGAGTCGTCTGATGAAGTGGGTGGTTCGTCATCGGAAACGAGATGAATTTCTGGCCGGTGAGCAATACTAACGATGATTAGTTCGTGGTCGGGATTGGTACTGGTTGGTGGTAGAGCTACACTGGAAACTGTAGTAATATAGATGCGTTTATGGAAGAGAGAAATGCTCAAGGGATGCAACCGGGCTAGGATGGGGAAATAAAACAGTTGGTCCTTGGTTTTGATCAGTTTGAAAAGTGTCTGCTTGTAGAGCCAGGCATCAGCATCGGCTTCTTTAGGAAGTGACTGGTCACTGCGAAGACAGGCTATTTCATCAAAGATATAGGCAACTTGCTTGAGAGTCCTGTGCTGTTCATTGATAACCAATTGGGTGACCCAGCTTTGAATATTATTGAAGTAATTATCTCGGGCTGGGACTGTCCAGCACATGCCATTTAGTAGTATATTGTGAACTGTAAGAAGATCGGCGATTTTGTGGGCAGCCATATTGTTAGGGTATTTTGGCTGGATGCCATCATAGAATGGAATGAGTTTGGTCAGAGCTTGAACCGCCAGGCATTTGTCGCCTTTGCTTGATTGTGGTAAATCTTGAGATGAAGTTAGCGCTAGAAGGTATATCTTTTCTGCTACTGTATCGATTGAGTCATTGATTTTGATGGTTTTGAGGTTTTTCAAGGCTGGAGTGATATCTATATTATTCGAACTGAGATTTAACAAGCGCGTGTTAAGTTGGTTAGCTATGTTTGTAAGGCGCGTATCTAGGTCATATGAATCGAGCCAGGTGCCAGATACTGAAGTGTTTATCTCTTTTGCCCAAGGAAGGTTTAGACGGTATAGTTCTTGTAATATAGTGAGTTTTGGATTAGCATGGGTGGTTGGTTGCCGAGATCCCACATCAGCATGAACAAATACCGGTCCTAAAACCAGTAAGATTAATGGAATCAAAGTTAACAAGTTCATACCTTGAAAAAAATTAGAGAAAATGATCTAATTACCCAATAAGGAAAGTAGCAATTTTTGCATTTATTTCGTAGTTGCCAGTTGTTTTTGAAAGTTAAAATAAATGTCCTATGCTTGGTTGGGTGTGTTTGTGATGGGCAAGCTTTGTGTCTCTCAAGGCATTGTGACCGGCTTGGAAATAGTTTGGGAATGTGAAGTATGCTAAGATTCGTCTTCTTTCTTGCCCGATCCCAGGCAGCATAGTAAGTTACCCAAACACAATACACCACTACGACTCAAATAAATCAACTAACTCAACTTCTCTATGTGTTCTTTATTGTACGTGCATTAAACCAGACCGCGTTGCTTATCTTAATATTGCGTTCTGGCCTGAGTGGGCACCCTGTGCTACGCTTTATAGCACACT